CATCAGTTCGAATCCTTATCCGGTTTAATCCTGCCGGCCAAGAAACCATTCGATAGCGTTAACAAGGAATTTCTAGAGAGAAGGAAAGTGGGACTGAACACCTATCTGCAGGTTATGATGATGATGGTGATAGTGATGGTGATGATGATGACGATGATGGTGACGATGATGGGGACGATGATGTGGTCGTGATGTGATAAAGATGATGATGATGATGTTTAAGAAAGTTAGGTAATCGTAGGCAGGAGTTACAAAAGTGTGATTAAGATTTATAATGTGATTATAATTATATATTCATTATTATATAGTTATAATTATATAATTATAATTATCACCATCATCATCAGTAACATAACCATTATCATGGCAGACCCTGTTGAACCCGGGCCTACTAAAAATGTACAAGGGGCTCTTCGACGTAGTCTACCACTTCCTCGAGCACTTGCATTGGGAGAGGGAGAAAAGTGACTTGGCGCGAAGGGTCAGTTCAGTTGGTTGGTTGATTGATTGGTTGGTTTATTGGTTGGATGATTGGTTGGATGATTGGTTGGTTGGTTGGTTGATTGGCTGGTTAGCTAGTTGGCTGGTTGGTTGGTTGCAACGAAGCCACAACAACCAACCAACGCACACACACACATAGAAGCAAACCAACCATTCAACCAACTAACCATCCAACCAATCACTGAACCACCACTCAACCAGGTCGATTCCTTTGTCAATCCGTTTCGAAGTTCGGTTCGTAGCGTTGGAAACATGGTCAGGTCTGTGCCGAACAGCTTGGCCGACGGTGTGGCCAAGGTCCGAAACATCCCAAACATGTTGGATGGCGTCGGGAAGATTCTCAGTGTCAAGGTCGGATTGATGTTTTAGTGATGTGTTGTACAGTGAGAAGTTCGTGTTTAAATTATCATTGAAACCGAATGGGAATTGGAATATAGCACGTTAGATTGTAGCACATGAGTTTTAAATAGATTTAATTAACGAAATTTCAAATGAAGTTAAAGGAGAAGATCGATTTACAAATTCTCTTCCAGTCTTCCATTCATTCGTTCGTTCATGCGTTCATTCGTTCGTCCGTTCGTTCGTTCGTTTGTTCTTTCGTTTGTTCGTTCATACCTTCATTTAGCGAGTTAATCAGTCTTAATTTATTCATTTATTCATTCACACATTCAACCAATCAGCCCTCATCCAACCAACCAACCGTCATCAAGAAGGATGATTTAAGTGGAGGAAAAGTTGGGGCTTCGTTAGATTTTGAAGTACGTGTCTCTCTGTCTCGGTCTGTCTGTCTGTCTCTGTCTGTCTGCCTCTGTCTGTTTCTCTGTCTGTTTGTCTCTGTCTGTCTATTTCTTTGTCTCTGTTTGTCTGTTTGTCTGTTTATTGGTCTGTCTAACTTCTTCACCTTTTTTGTATGTATGATTGTTTCTGTCTGTTTATAGGCTTGTCCGTTCGTTCTCTAGATGTTTTCGGCTAAACTGCTTTTAACATGTTTTCATTTTTAAGCGTAGAGAACATCCATCTAGGCTACACATAATCATTATTGTTATCATTTTCATCATCTTCTTCATCACCATTATCCAAGTGTGGTAGAGATAACATACTCCTTCATCATCGTCTTCATCATCATCTTCATCATCATCTTCATCGTCGTCATCTCAATCATCATCTTCATCACTATCTTCATCTTCATCATCATCATCTTAATCATTTTCATCGTCGTCATCATCGTCGTCATCCCAAACATCATCTTCTTCACCGTCTCCATCATCACTATCTTCATCATCATCTTTATCGTCGTCATCATCATCTCCATCCTCGTCATCCAAATCATCATTATCTTCATCTTCGTGACAGTGCGGTGAAGATAGCATCCCCCTCCACATCATGTTGCTGCTGTTGGATGAGATCTTCGACCTGAAGACGAGGAACCAATGGCTGAGAAGGAGAATCGTCGCCATTCTACAGCAGATCGCTAAGACAATGTTTGGAGATAGTATCAACAGGTTGGTCTACAATCAATCAATCAACCAATCAATCAACCAATCAATCAATCAATCAATCAATCAATCAATCAATCAATCAATCAATCAATCAATCAATCAATCAATTAATCAACCTACCAATCAATCAACCAATCAATCAATCAATCATCCTTTCAATTATTATTTTTATTATCATTATAAACGGGCGACTGATGGGCACAATGGTACAACGCTAGTCTTCTGAGTTACTCTGACTGGGTTCGAAAGCATGGTAATCCCCTCCATAGCGAGAATCACGCTGGCTTGGTAGACACGGCACATTGTTACGCCATTGTCACTTGTTACTACGTAAACTTCAATGATAATCGTCATCATCGTGACGTCATCATCACCATCGTCACGGTCATCATCATCCTGGTCACCATTTGTAGGAAGATCATAGAAAGCGTTGCTTACTACACGTCACCTGATCAGATCGCCGAGTACCTCAAGATGTTTAGGTTCGTGGTGTTTGTCTGCTGTGTGATTGTGTTCGTTCGTTCGTTCGTTCGTTCGTTCGTTCGTTCGTTCGTTCGTTCGTTCGTTCGTTTGTTTGTTTGTTTGTTTGTTGGTTGATTGGTTAGTTCGTTCGTACGTCAGTTTGTTTATCAATCGATCGATCGATTGTTCGTTTGATCATTCGTCTATTCAATCAATCAATCAATCAACCAATCAATCACTCAATCAACCAATGAATGAATCAATCAATCAACCAATCACTCAGACGATGAAAATATTATTATTATTATTATTGATACAACCAATAACAACCATAGGGACTCATTTTGGCCGGGAGGTAGGTTGAGCGAGGAGGTCGCCCAGAGGGACCACAACACGAAGATGAGGATGAGGGTGGTGTGCAAGACCAAACTGTACGCAAGTCTTTCCGGTGAGATGACGTCATGATGACGTCACGATGGCGTGGTGATGGCGATGATGATGATGATGAAGGAGATGCTGTTTGACAACGACGACGATGAGGACCATGATTTATAACATTCTCACTTCGTTTTCTCCCAAAACCCCCATCATAATTATCATAATTTATTCCGCCACTCACCGGCCATCACAATTATCATAATTAATTCCGCCCCTCACCGGCCATCATAATTATCATAATTTATTCCGTCCCTCACCAGCCATCACAATTATTATAATTAATTCCGGCCACCATAATTATGATAATTAATTCCGGCCATCATAATTATAATTAATTTCGGCCATCATAATTATCATAATTAATTCCGGCCATCATAATTATCATAATTAACCCCGCCCCCGCCAGACGAACTACGGCATCTGATTGGTTCGGAGACGACGCGACACGGCGTCACGCTCGTATTCAACATGTTCCAGCAGCGCCAGCTCAACCGACGTCTGGTGTACGTCATTTTCGAGGGCCTACTGCAGACTATATTTCCGGAGAACAAATTCTACGAAACCTTTCGAAAGCTGCACTCGCAGTCAGCCCGCATCAAAAACAAGATGGCCGCCGAGAAGGACAAGATGACGTCATCGCTGTCGTCGTCGTCGTCGTTGCTGACGTCGTCTGCGGCCGTCACTAGAAATAACAATAATAGTAGTAGTAGTTATAACAGCGCTAACAGTGCAAACAACAACAATAACCACCACAACAATAATGATAACAATAATAACAATAATATAAGCAACAAAAACAACAACAACATTAATAATAATAATACTAATAAAAATACCAATTCAAGCACTGCTTTTAGTAGTAGTAATAATAATAAAAATAATAGTAACAGGACTTTTGGTAGAAATAATATAAGTAGTATTAGCAATAATATCAATAATAATAATAATAATAGTAGTAGTAGTAATAGTAGTAGTAGCGCCAGCGGTAGTAGTAGTAGTAGTAGTAGTCGAATGGTAAGCAGTCTAAGTAATTTGAACTATTACTCAAGTAAAAATACTCCAGATGACTATTATTAATGTATGTTGTTGGTGGGTGTAAAAGAGGAGAGAGAGAGAGAGAGAGAGAGAGAGAGAGAGAGAGAGAGAAAGAGAAAAGAGAAAGTGAGAAAGTGAGAAAGTAAGAGAAAGATAGGAGAGAATAAGAGGGAGAGAGAGAGTGAGAATGTGTATTTACTTATTTCAATCAATCGCAACATTTCTATACCTATATACTGTCGCCATGTCAGCGTATTAATAGTAATAATTATGATTATAATAATGTATAATAATAATAAATAATAATAACTATCCGTGTATAATAATAATATATATGTATATATTTGTCGCTAGCATAATTGTATATATTATATATATATATATATATATGTGTGTGTGTGTGTGTGTGTGTGTGTGTGTGTGTGTACAAGATATGTTGTATAAAGTGTTAAATGTTAAAATTATAAAATTATGATTATTATCCTTACAGTTATATTGTTTATAATTCTACATACATACAAGATGATTAAGATAATATCTGAACAACTGTCGACGCTTCTAACATCACTTATATAAAAATGTGTGTCTGTGTTTTTGTGTGTGTGTGTACATGTGCGTGTGTGTGCGTATGGCATATATTGCATTGGGGACGCACCGAATTATTGGCTAGTTTCGTCAATTTTGCCGAAATTTTACATCCAGCTTTGGTCGTTTTTGAAGGCCGAATCTTTTAATTTAAGTTTAAACCATCAAATATTTGACCCAAGAGATTGAATGTTATTTCGATGAGGAGTTGTTGGATAGACATGAATCGCCTGCTGTTCCTTCCAGTGGCTTCTTTTCCATTCTAAATATTTTTTCTCTTAAAAAATTGCGAGTTTTTTGCTATTTGGTCTTTTGGCATGTTCCGCTATTCGAGGCATCTCTGTACTGCATGCATTTACGTGTGAATTGTGTGTGTGTGTGTGTATTTGTGTGTGTGTGTTTGTGTGGCGTGTATGTATATGCTGCCATATACAGTCGTTCAACATTCGCTTGTGTCGTGTAGTACAGTGCATCGTGTGTATTTCAATCCACACACTCAATTAACACTCGTTATAAACCATTCATATTTATATATTTTATATGAATTTATAAGAGTATATACAATATTTTTTCATGTAAATATTTTTTTTTTTATTCAAAATTTTTTGTATGCCTAAGAGCCGTTTCGATAAACCATTTACCGTTGAAATTATTATCTTTTTTGAATAATTGGTTGAGTGCCAAAATGTATATACGTGTGTGAGTGTGCGTGTGTGAATGCGCGCGCGCGTGTGTAAATATGTGTGTTTGTATGTGAATATCCATCTAAAAACATGTTTATGTATGCGTGTGACCACTTGTATACTAATGTGTGTCTGTGTGTGCGTGTGTGAATGTGTGTGTGCGTGCGTGTATGTGTGTGAATGTGTGATGCTTTTAATAGCACTAAATATACTTTGCAGGTCTGTCATCAAACGATTTAACTTGATTTGATTTTGATACTTATTGATTTCGTGCAGATTTTACCTAGCTTATTTTCAGTTTGAAATAAATTATGAATTGTTATTATTATTATTGTTATTATTATTATTGTTGTTATTATTATTTATCGTTTTTTCTGTTTTCTATTTTATTAAAATTTATTTATTTATTAACGCGCGTGTCTGCCATTTTTGAAAAATGATTTCCACACAGTTCAATCAATCCGTTCATATTTTCATTCATTCATTCATTAATTAATTAATTCATTCATTCATTCATTCATTATCCATTCATCAAGCAAACTAAATAATATACATAAAAATATACTACTAATAATAATTTGATAAGCAAATATATACTCACTCAAAATTTATAGATCTTTTCTTATGTTACTATCTTCCTCATCAATAAAAAAATTTTTCTTTACCAATGTTTTTCTTTTCGTAGTTATGTTTGTGTGTTGGTTAGTATGTGTGTATGCTTTTTTGTTTGTATGTATGTATTTGTGTAAAGTTAGATGTCATATGTTTATGTATATGTCATCTGCCTGTATATATGTATGCAGAGTGTCTGTGTGTGAGTGTGTGTGTGCGTGTATGTATGTATGTGAGTGTGTCTTTATGTATGCATGCATGCATGCATGTGTAGTGTTGTTGTTTGTCGTTATACCAAAGTTTACTTTGTATTCAACAATCAGGCATTTTTTTTTATTAATATGGTACTTATTTGATAAATGTACCCTTAATTTCTCGAATAATAACAATAATAAAAATAATGCAAACGATAATAAGTAATAAAAATAGCATGGTAAAGTAATTTTTTATATTTATGTTTGTAACCTATTTATTTTTGTATCTTTGCTTACGATTGTTTGTATGTTTTGTAATGCATTTTATCAGTTTTCGATTCCTCCATCATATCTCTACGTACCTGAAAATAACATGCTAATTGACGCCCTATTATCAACCATTTAATCAATCAATTAATTATTAATTGGTTAATATATCAATTAATTAATCTTATGTTAACTATTATTAGCTATTCTCCACTCTTAACTTTGTTATTAAATAATTTTTATGTTTGCTAAGCTGTGTAATTAAAGTTGGATGAGTATTACTACTAATTATTAAAATTTGATCAATTAATTAGTTAATTAATTAGTTAATTAGGACCAATTTATATTTTTTTAGCGTGCCATATGCCATATTACATGAGTGTATTCGTTGAGATTCATTTTATTAACTCAATTAGCTTATACATTGAATTCTTGTAAAAAAAAATTAATAATTTGTATCTTAGGAGATGATTTGATCAATTTTTCATTGATTCATTTGCTTATCTGTTCATTCATTCGTTCGTTCGTTCATCTCTCCATTCCATCCACTTATTTATTCGATATGTCGAACATTATTTAGAAGCAGTTTATCTGCCAATCAATCAAATCAAATGTTCATTCAACCAATCAGCCAATCAATCATTCATTCAACCAAACAAACAATCAATCAATCAACCATTCATTCAATCAATTAATCAATCATTCAACCAACCAATCATTCAATCTATCAACCAATCAGTTACATTCAAATCAATCAGTTAAATTGTACAGCACATCACTTACTTTCCATACTTGTCGGTGCTACAAAACATGAACTTGCCTAACATCGCTAATTAAAAAAAATCACATTCTGTCACACTTAAGAAAGAATCACAGAAACTTCACGCACAACACTGTGTGGCTTGTTACATCTGTGTGTGTGTGTGTTCGTGTGAGAGGCGTTTAATAGAAATTACATTAATTTATATCACCTAGTATCACCTTATCACTCATTAAATCAACACATTATCACATTAGTTTCTATTGATTTTCATTTGTTAACACATTAAAAAATTTATTTTACACACACGCACATACGTATGTGTGTATGTGCGTGATTTTGTATCATCGTTAACTGACGTTGTATTGCAAGCACAAAATAGTACTAAGTACCATTACTTCAACTATATAACAACAATTGCTACTACTACATGACAACCATTTTATATTTTTATTAGTAGCAGTAGTAATATGACATTAATTAAGAATACATCATATATATATATATAAATGTAATGGTATAACATCAATTAATAACTGAAAACCTATAATATATCGCATGTAGCTGAACGTTTCAAAGTCTAGAGAAAACTGATTAATGAATACATATTTAAATCAAACTACAGTTTGTATAGTGAAAATGTCTTACGAGCGCACGCACACGCGCACACACACACAATGACACGATGAATCAAAGATCAAAATAAGGCTAGATAACTTAAAAATGTATAGGCACACATACATATTTCGTTGATTTGTTGGGTTCGATCGTGTTTACGAGGCTACTTGTCTACTTTTTCAAGTTTCCCAATTTTGTAATTATCAAATGATTATGAAATTAAAAAAACTAACTAATTAGAGAATTGGAAAACTTGAATAAGAAATGAAACAACCTGGTAAATTTGACCAAGTTTAACAAACTATGCATTCAAGAAAACATGCATAAATACAAAGGCCTAATATATATATATTATATAATAAATATATATATATTTTGTAAAGGCTGGAAGATATACATGAATATATTATGAAAAATATATAAGCTGCCATAAACACACCATCTGATTATTGTATTGGAAAGGATCATGGGAAAAATTTTCTATAAAAATTAATTATTTGGAAATATGAAAAAAATTATCTTGTCATGTCATAATAGAAATATTTATGATTAAAAATTATAGTTATATTTTATTCACACGTGTATAAGTTGCTTAAAAACAAGTTAAAATGAGCACTCATCCGTAAACGCATTCATTACTTATAATATATTTCAACACCACCAACGTCTGCTGATATTTATATGAATGGTACCAAACTAGGCACCATCTGGCCGGTAGAGCAAAAATGAAACAAAGGAACCTTTTAAAATAGTGACGCACACACACACACACACAAACACACACATCTATCCATTTTCAAACTTTATTTCCAGTTCAGCTAGTTATAAATGAATGCATATATATATATATATATATATATATATATATATATATATATATATATATATATATACGAATAATAAGCAAAATTGTAATAAACATTACCATCGTCCATAAATGTTCGTTACCGTCCGCTAACATGATGATGAAACAAATTATAAATTATATATATATATATCATTTTCAAATTAATTTCTAATATAAGACTATGACGATAACGAGGTTAATGAATATGCATGATTGAGGATGCTGTTTCCTGATTGGCTAACAAATATGCACATGATTATCGATGGCCACTTTCTCAGTGGCTGTCCTACTTGAGAATGGGCGGGGCAAAGAAGTTCGTGGTCTTTTTGGAGTAGTTGCTCATCGTTGTGGTTGCCCGCCTGTTGGTTGTGAGTGAATGTGGGTCAGGTTGTGTCGGTTTATTCGGTCAGGTTATATTGGTTAATTGGGTCAGTATGTGTGTGTGTGTGTGTGTTATTCAATTAGGTCATGTCATGCAATGTTAAGTTGGTCATCAAACTAAACAACTATGCAAATTAAGTAATAAGTTTTCTCTTTCTTAATAGAATTTAAAATGATGCGTGCCTGCATTTGAATGAAAGAGAAAGATAAGGTACATACAAAAATTCATTCATTCTGCTAGATTCCTTTGTTCATGGTTCTGTTTTCAATAAATCTTCATCGACCTATCCATAAATCAACGAACCAACCAACCAATCAACGAACCAACCAGCCAGCCAATCAAACAAAACACCAATGAAGACTTACATCTGATTGGACGGAGTAAACCAACCATTATTATTATTATTACCATTATAATTATTATAATTATTGTTGTTGTTGTTGTTGCTGGCCTCATAGTAGTTGCCAGGAGTGTTAATAATGTTTGCATTGGAGGAAGAAGATGTGAGAACGCCTATTCCAATTAATTAAAAAACTAATTATAAAACTAATTAATAATTATTATATTATATAAATTACAAATAATAATAATAACCTCTTGCAGTAGTACTATTGGTGTGGGTGAGGGTATCTAGCCTCTGAGACAGCCGATCTGATTGTCATGATGATGATTATGATGATGATATAATTTACAATATAATTATTAATAATTATTTATAATATAGTTTATAATATAATTATTAATAACTATTATCGTTCACGTCTACTTCTGTTCAGTCATTCTATCATTAATTCGTTTATCCATCAATCAATTTTTCAATCAATCAATTTTTCAACCAATCAATCAATTTTTCAATCAATTTTTCAACCAATCAATCAATCAATTGATCAATCAATCAATCATTCAATCAATCTTTTCCAATCCAATTTAAAATTATAATTTGCTCTAACAGTAATAATTCTTTATCTATTCATCCAACCATGTGACCATCCGTCTATCTATCCAACCATTTATCCATCCATCCATCCATTATCCATCTACTCAACCATTTATCCATCTATTCATCCATCTGACCGACCATTGGATGGAGTTGAGAATTGAAATGACACACCTCCATCTTGAACCCTCAAAAAATTGAACCAATAGTCACTCGGGATGTCAATCAATCGATTCATGACCTAGATTGTTGTTTTTCGATTGGATGGTTTAATCAGGTCACTCACAGAGTGACAATTCAGTGACGTCACGATCAATCGATGCGTATCAATCCGGCAGTCAAGTGACTTCACCGATCAATCAAGTCTAACTGACATAGTGTCATAATCAATCATTCAATCAACCATTCGCCAATCAACCAGCCAACCATTTGCTGTCTAGCAGTTTCCTGAATCATCTGGGTGGGGGTGGGATTGGGGCAGGAGAATCCAATCATAGTTGGGGCGAAGACCTTCACTAAGTTGTTTATATCCATCCTGCATTCCTTGCACTCGGACACTCTGATTTAAGATGAATGGATGGATAGATGAATGAATGAATGGATGGATGGATAGACGGATGAATGAATGGATGAATGAATGGATTACTGATCAACCAACCAAAACCAGCCATTAAAATAACCAATCGACTGATTGACCAACAAGCCAATCAAATAGGAAACCAGTCAATCAGCAATGAGTAGGGAACGCCAATCAGTCAACTAGTCAACCAACCAACTAGCCAACCTCAACAAATGAAGGATGATATAGGCAAATGTATCTCTGTTGGATATTGGAAGCATCGAGATGACTTGGTACGTATCTGTGATGCTTTCTTGGCGATCGTGCTTTTCTGTGTGTGTGTGTATGTGTGTTTGTTTGTATGTGTGTGGTGTGCTTGTGTATGTTTGTTTGTATGTGCGTGCGTATGATGTGCATGTATGTGTGTATGTTTGTTTGTATGTATGCATGCATGTGTGTATGTATAAAAAGATTTAAACATCACCAAAACAAACCAGCTGCCCTAAGGAAAGCACTCCAGAGTTGGTAGGTAACAAGAGGTTCCTTAAGGTTCCTTAGAAAATCTTTGAGACACGAGCAGATGACGTGAATGTCGGATATCGAACTAAGGTTAGGTGCAGTTTTGCCTCTCAGGAATTTCTCCTTCAACTCTTTTACTTCTTTGTCTGACCTGTGTGTGTGTGTGTTTATGTATGTTTATGTTTACGTGTGTGTGTGTGTGTTTATGTGTGTGAATGTATGTGAATTAAAACAATGAAAAACAGCACATAAGCCACATTACTAAATCAAACTATGATAGCAATCAAATAAAAGGTCAATCGTTAACTGTCATTAATCATTAAATAAATATACAAATCAATCAATCAATCAATCAACTAACCCAGAAACTCTGTACACTCCAACTTCTTTTAGCCCTCTTAGTTCAACTTCTTTAATGCAATGTATCTTGAAGTGTTTGTTAATCAATCAATCAACCAACCGACCAAATAGTCAATCAATCAATCAATCAATCAACAACAAATCAGATTATTAAAATGAATCATCTGGCAAAATGAATTATATTAAACTAGCATCCAATCCATCTTTAAGAAGCAACAACCAAGAGACTGAACAATCAGGCAATCAATCAACCAACCAGCCTGCTATTTAACACACACAGACACGCACGCACGCACACACACACACGCACGCACACACACGCACGCACACTAACCACGATTGCAGGTACGAACGGTGGCTCTGAGGGCGCATAGTCAGATAGAAATCCCTTCACAAAAAAAATCACCATTCAATCATCATTAAGTTTGATTTTGAATAATACTAACATGTTGGTAGAAAATAAAACAATATACTTAGCCACACAGACAAACAAACACACACACACATATACATACAGAAAAAAACTCTAACACACTCTTATTAACATAAGAAATGTTGAGTCAACATGCACACACACAACAGCCAAAGCCAGAAAGAGAGAGATAAAGAAGAAGAGAGATAATACACACTCACGCACACATAAACAAACAAACAGACAGACAGACAGACACTCACAGGCGAACTCTTATTAACTTTAGGCGTGTTGACGGTAGCCATGCAAGGTAGTGGGGCCAAATCCTTACAGGCATCATGGCATAGTATTTTACAATCTGGTAATTATAACATAATAAATAATAATAATAATTATTAATAACTATAATTATAACTATATTTTCTCATAATTTTTAATATCATTTTTAGTGGTGGCGTTACAATTTGGTATAAGTTAGCCTGACAGGTAAGTTAGTGTACATTGTATAATTCATGATAATGGTGGTTTTGACATACATCAACACGCACACACACACACGCGCACACACACATGCTCGCACATACCTTTACATTTAACACCAGCCGCACCAAATTTTAACTTCTTGTTGCACTGTAAAACAAACAAAAAAGAATTTTTCATGTACTCACTTAATTAAATAATTAATTAAAAACTACCACCACAACCACCGACGACAACATCGCCCCCAGCCGTGGCGACATCATCGCCATCCTTACTAACAGCAAAGCAGGACTCTTGCTTGTAGTGATGAATGTTCTGGAAGTAGTGGGGTCTTGTAAGGGAGTTGCCGGAATTGAACCTCTTTAGCTCCGGTGACCTAGAGGGAAAGGTCACGATTGTTGGTCGATTGGTTGCTGATTGGTTGGTCGATTGGTTGCTGATTGGTTGATTGATCGATTGGTTGATTGACTGATAGCATGATTAATAGACAGACCGATTGATTGACTATTCGGTAGTTTAATTGAAGGAATAATAAATTGAAAAATTGGCTGGTTGACAAATTTGTTCATTGATAAATCGATTGATAGATTGGTTGGTTGATAGATTGATAAATTGGTTGATAGAATGATCGATTGGATGATTGGTTAATGAAAAACTCATTCCTTGCAAAGCAATCTCATATATCAACCGACCAATCCTAATTTAACCATCCAACCAATAGCATTATTATTTAAACACAGTCAATCAAATAATCAATCAATCAATTAATCAATCAATCAATCAACCAACCATCTAACCAATCAGTCAACTTACTTTCCAGCCAATGGAATATTACTATCCTGAGAGTTGCATCGATTTAGGATACCAAACGGACTCGAATTTCGTCTGTCACGTGGGGTCTTTGGGGTTTTCCCGCCATCCATCAAGGCCCCCACCCCTGCACCCACTCCCGACATGCCATTGTTGTTGGCGGTGGTCATGATGTTGTTGTTCATCATCTCCATCGTCACCAAGTCAGCTGACTTTGAACGTCTATGCTTCTTAGCCTGTTGGTTTGTTTGCTTGTTTGTTCACTCGTGTATTGTTACTGTACTTTATTTCAACCAACCAACCAATCAATCAATCAATCAGTCAATCAATCAACCAAACAATTATTCAGTCAGTCAACCAATTAATCAACCAGTTAGTGAAACAATCAATCAAAGACATTATTCGTCTGAAAAAATTAATCAATATCTCAACCAGTCAACCAACCAATCAGCCACCGAGTCAACACGTCAACCAACCGCTTGTTCAACATTATTCACAATAGACGTGGGTCTCGACTGTTGAAAATTCCCCCCAATTATGACCCCATCCACATCCTCCTCCTCGAAGGGGGGTGCCGAGGGTCGTTTACCCCCCCTCCTGTTACCCTTATGCTGTTGCTGGTGGTGGATGGATTCATCCAAATCCTCCTCTGTTTTGTCATAGCTGATGTCAGAGGGACTCAGTATGGAGCAGGATTCTTCAATCATTGGCATGTTGCGACTGCATCGGCGATTGGTTGGTTGGTTGATTGATTGAGTAATTGAATGGTTGTTTGATTGATTGATTGGTTGATTGAGTGATTGGCTGGTTGATTGAATGAGTGGCTGGTCGGCAGATTTATAATTAATAATATTCATAATAACAGACTGGCAAATTGATTAACCTATTGGTCAATAAGTTGAAATGACACAGATAAAACATTTATTAACTTCGGGAATGTTGAAAAAGTGGTTACCACACAAACACACACACACAAAAACATGTACACACACACACACACAAGTACACACACCAACAATAAACACAATCTCTACCACACCACACCCAAATCACATCATCAAAACCACCTCCTCGTCGAGTGATCGTACATAGGTGACTTGCAGGTCATACTAATGAATGCAAGTTTCTCCCTATCCTGGTCATTCAGGATCGTTGTGTTGTTCTTATCCCTAAGGATCTCTTGTACTAACAATATCTGCTTCTCCTAGAAGTGATAACGTGATGATGATGGCGATGGTGAAGAATGATAACATAGCATGTTACTGATATATGTGTGGATACATGATCACATATATGTCAATAAAATGATATATGACCACATACACCATTAACATAACATAAAGATAGATTGAATGATACTATGAGATGAGATCGTGATGGTAAACAAATAAATAATTATAAAGAATAATTGTAAGAAGAATAATTATAGAGGATAAAAATTTTTTTAAATGAATAAAAACGAAATATATTCCATCTTACGTATCCTTCTCTCTCTTCCTCCGTCCTCTTTCTCTTCCCAATCTCAACATCAATCTGATTCCTGGAAAACAACAACAACAATAAAAATAATAAATATTATACACACACACTCACTCACACACACACACACATGTACAATACCATTCAATGTACAACATACATGCACGCATATACACACAGACATACATATGTACAACACACATAAACATAAACACACATCATAAACACATAAACATGCATACATACACACACATACACACACACGTACATACACATTATATTTACACTTTTAATTAAATTAAACTATTAAGACAGCAAATCTTACAGCATAACAAAATGACACAAGAGTCACACATATATAGTTTTGTATCCATAGAAAAAACCTATGGTCCCGATAGTTAAAAATAGAATCCCAAAAAATTTGCCCCAAAATAGTAATAATAATATATAATAAAATAAATTACAAAAGTAAAATTAACAATAATAGCAATAATAGTTATAATATAAAATAATGTAATATAATTAAAATATATATATATATATAAATAGATAATTAGGACTCATAAATATACCTGGCATGTTTTAATTTAGTTTCAAGAGCCATATTTTCATTTTCAAGGGATTTAACTTTCTCTCTCAAGTTTGCCAGCTCGTTCTCGCTCGTCACATACCTCTTTCGGAGTTCTTCTTGCGAGGCAACAAATGCTATGAACTCTGCGATCGGTCGGTTGTTAGAGTGTTGGAGATTTGTAATTGGTAATAATATTAAATAACAATTAAATAATTGAATAACTAAAATGAAGAAGAAAAATAGAGAAAATTTAAAACTCTCAAACTCACCTGCTTCGATGCCAGCAGTTAGAACTGCCCTGTTTCGAACAATTTCATCATACTGCGCAACCAGAGACAGCCTATACTTGTCTGTAGTCGCCATTCGGTTTTTCAAGTTCTAATCTGGTTGTTTTTATTAAAAATAATAAAAAAATGTATTTGAATTTTTTTTTTATTTATATTGTATTAGTTATTATTTTTATTATGGTGAGATTTTATTTTTAATAAAAAAATTAATTAGAAAATTAATTAGAAAATTATAATAAATTTCTATTTGAATTGATTAAAAAATTTATTTAAAAATTTAATTATTTTATATCGTTTTAAAAAATTAAATTATTTAATTAAATTTATTTTTATTTAATTTAAATAAATATTTATTATTTTATATTTACTAATCAGTAACAAATTATTACTCTTACCACGAAGCCAGAGACTTTTAGAAATTTAAAGTTAGAAAAATGATTAAAAACTGAAAAAACTGCCACTAAACTAAAAACAATTTTAAAATAATTAATCTGAAAAAATAACTCTTTATATCAAGTAAATTTAGGGGAATCTAATATCTATTATTTTGAAAAGGGCCGCCATTTCAATTTTTCAACCAAAGATTATGAATCGGGTAAACTTTTAAAAGTTATCGAGCACCTGTTATACTTCCCGTTATGTAACATGAAATACAATACTTGTAGTGGAATTAATTTCTATATAAAAAAAAAACATATTCCAATTTCACATTTTTATTTCCATAATTCATGTCTTTAATGGATGATAAATGAGATAAATGAGAAAATTCATCAAGCGCTCTTCCATTGCCAGTGTAAATGACGTCACCGTCACCACCAATCAATCACTGAAGTCCAAGAATCCATCATTTTCAAACATTTATATATTCTACACATATATGCAACCAACTAAATTACTTAATGTTTGTAGTTAAACTATAACTTACTACTAAACTATAACTACTTTGCAACTAAAAACATATAGTTTCTTCTTCTTTCTCGTTTCTCATCTTATTCTTTCAGGACATTGGCGACCATCGACCACCACAAAACCCGATCTTTAACACTTTGTAGTAGTTGAAATGTGGTGATATTCAACAAGTGACCCACAACGACTTCACGAATTTTAATCTATTCTCCCTGGTGAGGAAGTTTTTCATTTTAGAATATGCATCTTTCGCCATAGCTATCCTTCTTTTGATATCCATATCACATTTACAACCTGAGGTAATCAGACTTCCGAGATAATTGAAGCTGTTAACTTGTTTCACCTGTTTACCAGTAATGATTCTGGAGGAGATCGGTGCGGTTTTGCTTGTGCTGATAACCATGCACTCTGTCTTGTTGATGTTAATTTTAAAGTATTTTTTGACTCCGTGAAATATGTAAAGTTGTAAATAAGGTAATAATATTAATTTTCAGTAATATTGTATAAATAATTACATCAATAATTATTTATTTAGTGTAACTTATTAAAATTAAGAAGAATATAAGAAAGTCCTTAAGTCTGGAAAAATAATTTATTTTTTCATAATTACTTTCAAATTCATCGATTGACTATATTGATATTCAAAATTGAAAATTTTCACTCGAACACACACACACGCACACACACTCACACACACGCACACACACACACTCACACACACGCACACACTAAACTTTACGCACATAAACACTACACTCACATACATACTGCAAATTTGCACACACAATTAGTAAATATGCATTACCAACAATGTTATCACCATCATCATCCTCATCATCATCATCATCATCATCATCGTCGTCGTCATCATCATCGTCATCATCATCATTATCATCACCATATAGTCATCGTTATCATCATCAGCATCATCATTAATGTCGTGTTCACTTCTAAGCTTCTTCAAATTATTCCAAATTATATCAATTTATGTGGAGTTTAAAAAAATATTTTTCAAGAACTGTTTTTTTATTTGTCATTAATTGGACGCTTGAAGTAAGATTTAAATAAAATTATTTTGTTGGTGACGTTTAAGTTGGTGTGTGGTTGTTGTTGTTGATGTAGTAGTGGTAGCAGCAGTAGTAGTAGCAGCAGCAGCAGTAGCAGCAGTTGTAGTTGTGACTGTGGTTGTTGTTGATGTTGCTGATGTTGTTGAAATAAAACGGATTTAAAAGGTGATTGATTTCGTTAAGATCTGCTCCGTGCGTTGCAAATAACATTTCCTCTCGACTTTGCTCTTCGAGATATTGTTGTTGTTGTTGTTGTTGTTGTTGCTGTTGTTGTTGTTGCTGTTGTTGTTGTTGCTGTTGTTGTTGTTGGCTGTTGTTGTTGTTGCTGTTGTTGTGTTGGCTGTTGTTGTTTCTCAGCTTCATCTTCACAGTTATCATCTTATCATTATCTTCGAATCATCTGATGATGACTTTGATGTTGGTGTTGTTGATAACGATAATGATGTTGTTGCTGCTGACAATAATGATGTTGTTGTTGTTGTTGATGATGATGATGATAATGATGTTGTTGTTGCTGCGGCTGCTGCTGCTGCTGATGATGTTGTTGTTGTCTTCGACTTATTAAAATATTCATAAATAGGACAAGATGGGGTGTGGAGATGAGAAAAATGATGAAGAAGCTGCTGCAACTGCTTATGACGACGACGACGATGATGATGATCTAAATGTTGTTGTTGATGTTGTCTGAAGATGGTAACGATGAGGATGATCGAATTTTGTTTGTTGTTGTTGTGGTTGTTGTTGATGTTGTTGTTGTGGTTGTTGTTGTTGATGTTGTTGTTGTTGTTGAGGATGTTGGTTAAAAGAAATATGACGATGGTTATGGTGATGATGATGTAGAGATGTGGAAATATAAGCGGAAGTGTGCTTGGAACGAATGGCGGGTGGTCGAAGAATATTTGAAAGTTGATGTTGTTGTTGTTGTTGTTGTTGTTGCCGATGTTGTTGCTGATGTTGTTGATGTTGTTGTTGATGTTGTTGTTGATGATGTTTATGATATTGTTGTTGTTGTTGTTGTGGGCACTCAAAACGATATTGTTGATGTTTCGGCGAATAACTTTGATGTCGTTGTTGATGTAACTGTAATGGTTCTACCTGGCGTTGTTGTTGATGAAGATGTTGTTGATGATAATATTGTAGTAGTTGTTGTTGTTGATGTTGTTGTTGTTGTTGATGTTGTTGTTGTTGATGTTGTTGTTGATAATGTTGTTGCTGATGTAATTGTGGTTGCGGTTGTTGCTGGTGTAGTTGATGTAGCCGTGGATAAAAATGTAGTAGTAGTAGTTGTTGTTGTTGTTGATGTAATTGATGTTCTTGTGTGGGCTTGTCATTATACGCTCCATTGGCGTAAGTACTGATATTAGCTCTACTTCCATTGCCTCTATGAGAATTATCGTCACCATCATCATCGTCACCATCATCATCGTCACCATCATCATCGTCACCATCATCATCATCGTCGACTACCCCCTCCTCCTCCTCCTCCTCATCATCATCATTTTTGTCGTCATCATTATTATTATCAACATTATTATTATTAATATTATTTATTTTATTATTATTATTTATTATTTTATTATTAAAATTTTTATTATTATTATTATTATTGTTGTTGTTGTTGTTGTTGTTATCATCGTCATTGTCCTCGTCATTTCGATGAACAATGCTAGTGTTGTCGTTGTTGTTGTTGTTGGTATTTTTGTTGTTGGTATTGTTGTTGTTGTTATTGTTGTTGTTGTCGTTGTTGTTGTTGTTGTTAGCGTTGTTTTTTCTTTGCTTTGAGATTATTTTCAAAGGAAGAAAGATACTAAATAAACGGTTGACCTTAATTTTTTGTCGTCTGTCTACTTTTTCATCGTCTAGGCATTTATTATCTATGATTTTATTGTCTGTGTTTTCATTATCTATGATTTCATTATCTATGTTTTCTATGTTTATGTTTTTGTCGTAATTGTCTATGCTGTTGTTTGTTTTCTTGTCGTTACTGAAGCTGGTATTGGAGCTTTGAGTGTGGCTGTGCTGATTGTTGTTATTGATGTTATTGTTGTTGTTGTTGTAGATGTTGTTGTTGTTGATGTTGCTGTTGTTGATGTTGTTGACGTTGTTGTTGTTGATGACGTCACCGTGATTGCCGTTTCTATTGTTGTTGTTGTTGTTGTTTGCGCTGTCTATGGGATTCAGTCTATTGCTGATGTCAGTAACGTTGGTGTCTTTCTCAATAGTGTTACCACCACTGTTGTTGTAGTTGTTGTTGTCTATGTTGCTGTTTATATTGTTGTTTATGTCGTTGTTATTAATGACGTCACATCCGTTACTATTTTTAGCGTGCGTCAAACACATCGGACAACGACAGCAAGTGCAGTATATATCGCTGCTGAAGTTGCTTTTCACACCACCATCATCATCATCATCATTACCATCATCATCATCACTATCATCATTATTATTACCATCACCATCATCACCACCATCATCATCATCGTCGTCGTCTTCGTCATCATCATCATCATGGTCATCATTTTTCCATTTAATTCTTTTAACGTGTGAGCTTCTGTCCGGTTCGGCGCCTGATGGTGAATTATTATTGTTATTGTTATTATTATTATTATTATTATTATTATTGTTTTTGTTGTTGTTGTTGCTACTGTAATTGTTGCTATTATTACTATCATTGTTGGTCTTTATGTTGTTGTTGTTGCTGCTACTGTTGTTGCTGTTGTTGTAATTGTTGCTGTTGTTGTTGTTGTTAATGACAGGATATATATCATTATCATTATTGATATTATCATTATTATTATTATTATCATTATCATTATTATTCTCACCCATTTTATTATTATTATTATTATCAGCATCACTCTTAAAGGTAGTACTCCTAGTAAATTTAGTAGTAAAATTACTCGAGGAGTCATCATTCTGACCGCTGACGTCACAAACGCTATGACATTTGACGGGCTCAACGATGTCATTTGCATTAGTTCGATTACTTCTTAGGTAATGTTTAGTAGTAATAGTAGTAGTAGTAGTAGTAGTAGTAGTAATAGTAGCAGCAGCAGTAATAGTAGTAGTAGTAATTGTAGTAAACTAGTAGTAGTAGTAGTAGTAATAGTAGTAGTAGTAGTAGGAGTAGTAGCAGTAGTAGTAGTAATTGTAGTAGAGTAGTAGTAGTAGTAGTAGTAGCAGCAGCAGCAGTAGTAGTAGTAACTGTTTTAGAGTAGTAGTAGTAGTAGTGGTGGTAGTAGTAGTATTAGTAGCTGCAGCAGCAGTAGTAGTAGTAGTAGTAGTAATTGTAGTAGAGTAGTAGTAGTAGTAGTAGTAGTAATAGTAGTAGTAGTAGTAGCCTCGAAAGTAGTAGTAAATTTTTAAAAAAATATGTTTTGACCTCCAGTTCCATTATATTTTTTCTAGTACCACACCCATCTGCGAATGAATGAATGATGTTTTTTCCAAAAGATAATTGACATCATCGTCATCATCATCGTCATCAACATTGTCATCACAATCGTCATCAGCACTGCCAGCGACATCGCAATCATCATCAGCACTCCCAGCGTCAAATGAGTGTGGTTTTACTGGAAGCATTTCTTGATTATAAATCAGTCAGTAATTGATATATCGTTCGTCGAAAACTCACTTACCAAAACAATAATGAACGTGCACATCCCTGAAGTTGTGCTTTTTCCGGTCGGTCGTTTCCGGTGTGTTTTATTTATGATTTTCGGTTTCTGTTTTTATTCTTTTTGTTTTGTGATTTTTCATACACCAGTATAAATATTCGTTGTTGGTATGATTGATGGATTGGTTGATTAGATGGTTGATTGATTGGTTAATTGATTGGTTGATTGACTGGTTGATTAATTAGTTGATTGATTGATTAGTCAAAAAGATGATAAAGCGACGATTGAATGAATGATTGAATGAATGAATGAACGAAATAACCAAACGAACAAAAGAAAGAAAGAAGAACGAACAAATGAATGAATAAATGAATAAAATAGTGAATAAAAAGCAAGCAAACAAACAAACAAACAAACAAATGCTCGACAGACAAAAAGCAAACAAATGAATGAATGAATGAAATGATAGACTGATGGAATAAAAGAAGGTAATAAATGAATGGTCTTCTGAAAGATCATAAATCTCAGCGAGCTCTCAGAATGATAAGCAGGCAGACAACCACAAATATTGAGAAACACATAAACGAACAAAAACACAAATTTAAAAACAGTTGAAATAAAATCATAAAAATAATTAAATACAAGTGCCAATACTACTACCACCATTACTTCTTCCACAGCAGCTACTACTGCAGCTACAAGTACTGCTACCACTAATTCAACAATTTAGGAAAATATTTTTTAGAATGAAAAACAAGCTATGGGAAAAAACAGTAGATAAATTAAGTCTATGCAACAATTATTTACAGAGACGTTATTCAATCTCTTGTTATATTGTGATATTACAATAGCTATGGTGACCAAATTAAGCCTTCTACAGATAAATACAACCAACAATTATTCTCCTCGAAGCTAAAAATATTTGATGGCTTAAACAAAAATTGCCAAATTCGACTTAATAAAATGGCTAAAGTCGAATGTCAAATTTGGGCTGAATATCTGGTGCGTCTCTAATACATTTGTACACATACACAAACACGTTGGTTAGTGCATATACAAAAACATACTTTTATACACACATAAATACACACACACACACATACACACAAGCAAACACACTTACATGCAAAGGTACACCACACACACACACACACACACACACACATACAAAAATACAAACGCATATGTTATGCGTATGTTGGGATGATTCTTGTTTATTAAGAGCGTGTAATGGGATGCTTTTGACGCATGAACGGAATGCTTACTATGTATGTATGTATGTATGTATGTATGTATGTATGTATGTATGTATGTATGTATGTATGTATGTATGTATGTATGTATGTATGTATGTATGTATGTATGTATGTATGTATGTATGTATGTATGTATGTATGTATGTATGTATGTATGTATGTATGTATGTATGTATGTATGTATGTATGTATGTATGTATGTATGTATGTATGTATGTATGTATGTATGTATGTATGTATGTATGTATGTATGTATGTATGTATGTATGTATGTATGTATGTATGTATGTATGTATGTATGTATGTATGTATGTATGTATGTATGTATGTATGTATGTATGTATGTATGTATGTATG